AATGCCTTCAGATGAGAATACTGAATAGGCGCAAGTGTCTAGAAAGTATATTTATAACAAGAAACAGTTGAAAAATCGTTCCTAAATTGGAGAGAGGGTTTTAGAGGGACCAGGTAGCTATCTTCAGATATTTATCAGGTAGAAGTGGGATTGCTAAAATTAACCTTCGATTTCTGAAGAACCCTACAGTACATACAGAAGGGAAAGTTTGGCTCTTTATACAAACATTATAATCCTAGAGAGTGGGCCAGCAGGTGGCATGGTCGTTAAGGTACTAGACTCGTACATGGCCAACTGTGGTTTGAGCCCCGGACCTGATGGTTTACTTTCTTACTTTCTCTCTCTCTCTGGTCAAATTAAAATAATAAAAATAAATAATTATTTTTAAAAATCCTAGGGAGTATTATGAACATCACATTGTTAATGGTTAAATAATAAGCAGTAAAAGAAATTATATGAAGGAATATGTGCATTGAGGGAGGGGGTTCTGGGAAACAGAAACATAATTAATTTGGTTCATTCCTTTTACCAGCTTTTGTATAAATGGGACTAAGAACTTAAAATAAATTTTTTGTTGGGGGCCAGCAGGTGGCTCGGTGGTGGTGCTGGATCCTACATGGTCGACAGTGTTCTGAGTCTCAGACTTGGCAGCTTACTTTTTCATTCTCCCCGTCTTTCTTTGGTCAAATTAAAATAATAATATTTAATCAAGTTAAATAAACAATTCTTTAAAAAAAACTGGAAAAAATTAAAAAAAATTTTTTTTGTTTTACTCAAAGACTTGAGCATATCAGGCCTTTGCCATAATCAATATAAAAGTCATCTATGCCACTCAGATCTGACCATCGGAAACTCTGCAAGAATTTACCATTATGACCGTTAGATAATAAATAACTATATAATTGTGATAAGTTAATAGTTAATGGTTTTAAATTTTTCTTCTATTAATAAACTAGTGGTTTATTTCGGCAATCATCTGATCATCTTAGGGAGTTATTTAGCCAAAATTAATTCTAGGATAACCAATAAAGGACTTTAGAAGGGTCATAGAACATGAAATTAGAGTATTTTGATGCAAAAAATTAAAAAATTCATGTTTTTTTAATAATACGTATTTTCCATGAATATTTTGAAAACCCCTTGTAACCCTTTACATTTTGAAACTTGATGTGCCATTGAGCTCATATTACAATACTGTAATTCTGTTTGTAGGATTAAAATGGAAGGGAATGGAGCTGTTAAGTTTACTTAAAATAAGTTTGTAAAGGGGGAAAAAGACTGCCCATTTTTGGTGTTTTTACCAAAAAAAACTATGTATTTTCAATATATATGGCCTGAGTTGTTATCTGGTATACTAAATGGCTATGCAGATTTTCTCAGTAATTATTTTGAAAACAAGTGCTTTGCATATAATAGACACTTAATAAATATTTGAATGTAGGAATTACAATCTAATAAATCTTAAAATTCAGAGATCTCTTTCTAAAGAGATTGATAGAAACTATTGATCTCTTTAATCAAATTATTACTTGGGTTGTAAAATCAAAAAATGACTTAAAGCATATGGTTGACCACTGACCTACCTATACCAATGGATGTAAGACATAATTTATATATTAAAATAGTTGATTTTGTTGTACTAGATTGGACTGGCATTAGATTTTAAAATTCAGGTAAATGTTGTATATAGTGCACTCATGTGATAGTTCAACTGTTTTTTTTTTCATAGTTGTTGCAATATATGATTACACAAAAGACAAGGATGATGAGCTGTCATTTATGGAGGGTGCAATCATTTACGTTATAAAGAAGAATGATGATGGCTGGTATGAAGGAGTCTGCAATCGAGTGACTGGTCTGTTCCCTGGGAACTATGTGGAATCAATCATGCACTATACTGATTAAAGTTTTTTGCTTTTAAAGTAGGTTATTATTACTCAGTCATGTTGTGGGACTATTACGGTTAACAGATTCTTCATGTTTTAAAATGTGCCCATATTTTCAGGAAATGCTGTTTTATTGGTATAATTGAATGTCTACCTGTAAGCATAAATCTTTGAGGCAGTTTGTGTATTGCTAACCAGCAATTTCTACAATAGGCTGTCCATAACTGATTATGCTTATGTACTTACTTACACATTGTTAACTTTTTGACCAGCCTAAATATTCTGGGAAAGTGGGGTATAATATTTAATGAATCATGATTCAGATTGTACCATTACATGTTTCAGTGCAGCATGGTTACTAACGCTATGTCAGACTAATATTAAAATCAGAAAAATTTAAATGCTGGTGCTGGTCATACTTTTCATTTAGATTCTCTCATTTTTAAGAAATACTGTTTGTTTAAAGCATGCATAAAAATTTACATAATGAATATACTTAAAACAATTCCAAGATGCTTCCGATTTGTGTACTGTTTACCTGGGGTACTCGTACTCTGGTCTCTTGAAATGAATTGAGTCTCTAGGGCCTCCATGTGAAACAAAACAAAAGGAGAGTTACCTGTAATGTTGTAATTTGTATCTATGTTTTTTAATGAGTGAAGTTTGCATTATAAATCTTTTCCATTCATAAATACATAAGTGAACCAAAGGTTTTTGTCCTTTCCTTCACTGGTTTGCTTTAAAAAAAAATAAAAGATAATGATTTATTGCAGAATTATGGTTCTATTTTCTCAATATATTAACTTGAAAAAAATTTTAGCCTTATCTTAATCTGTCTCAACAGCAATGTGACGGATTTTTGCAGATTTAAAATCTGAGATGGTTATTTACAAGTCAACCTACTGAATTTCTTTTTTAAAGTAACTTTTGAAGCTAAGAAAATATCAAAGTGTACGCATTCTCTCTGTAGGTAAAATTCATAAGGAGTGCTGTCAGTCCTTCAGTTTTACAGTGGACTGCTGTACACTGGGTTCAACGAAAGGAAATTAGAAGTACTTTTACATATTGTAAAGGAGATGCAATTGATTTGTGAAAAAGCACTATTTAATCCATTACCTGGCACTAGCAACATAAAATTTTAGAACAGAATAATCGGGAAGGAAGGTGGGCCATGTTATTAATCAGTGAACAGAGCTATACCTAACAGATTTGTATTCTTCTGACTTAATTGAAATGCAACACATGCACTTTGTGTGTCTTCTCTTAATTTAAGGGAGGGTTAGCGGGACGTTTTCTTTTTATCTTGTGTATAATTCTGTATTGCTTAGGATATTAAAGTAGAGCACTCAGTGTGGGTTTCTGTGTATTGAGGATCTTTTGGATTTCAAATTACCGTCATGTACTGGGCGTTACAGACTTATCACAGAATAGTAAATGGTAAGACTAGTGCAAAACATTTATTTCTAAAATTAAAGACCATTATTGCTACCAAATCAATGTAATTGTCTCATATAGATTTTGCATTTGTTCATTTTAAACAAGGTATCATTAGTGATCAGATAGTTACCTTCTACTTTTCATTTTTCAGATGAAATGTTCTCTTAATTTGTATATAACCTGTTGCCTAAATTTTATGTACAGTCTTTTATAATAAACCATTCTCATGAAATTTTGGATACTGTTAAAATATAACTAATGTGGACTTGAATGCACACTTCACAATTTTTTGACCTTTACTCTTATGATGAAGTAAGACAAACTGTTTGAATTTTAACATTGATTATTTATTTGTATAATGGCTTTCCATGTGGATATTAACAGTGTAAACAATACCACATATAACCATCAAGTTTCCTCGATTTGAATTTACAGGATGAAAACAACAGATTCAGATGGTTTAATTATATTTAAAAAGTCTTCTGAAAAAATGCTGCCAGTAAAAAAAACTGCCCATCAATAAAATTGAAATTATTTTTTTAAATGATTTTTGGTTATCTGCACATGAAGCAAATGAAGTATATTCCACAAAATTCTTTAGGCACAGTCTGGTAAAATAGCTGCCAGAAAGAATAGGAAGAGTTGTCATTTATCTCTTGTGAGTACACGTTCTGAAATTTGAATGAGGGCATCTCTCTCTGGGGATGGCCGAAGTTTACTGATCTCTCTTACTGCTTCATGGCAGTACCGCTGGGCGAGGTAGGTTGTCTGTTGCACACCATCACTCTGCAGGATAGAGGACAACACAGTATTTCAGTGATGAAGCAAGTATCACACTACATACAGATTTCAAAAACAGAACATGTGCCTGTCCCTGTCTGGTTCGGTCTTAAATTTCTGCTATAATGGATTAAAACAGTTCTGAGATCACATGTGCTGAGGCTAAGTCGTATAGTTAGTAGCCAAACTACATTCCTGATTTCCTCTTTTTAACTCATACCTCTGGCCTCTTCTTCCTGCTTCTTTTAAGCCCCCTTTCAGACTGAACTGAAGTTTTCTTCTATTAGCTTCTAAAGCAACTAACTCATTAACATCAAGTAACCATCTATTTTCTATTTTTTTACTTACCTATTAGTTTTTTAAAAGTTCTACATGTATAAAATCCTTATGTGCCAGTTTTTAGAAAAAAATCCAAACTCTAAAAAAAAATAATGATAATAATAAAAAAATTAAAGTAGAGGCCCAGCTGCAGTAGCATTGCGATAGCACAGTGCTCTGCAATGCTGGAAGCCATATGGGAGATTGGGGTTCAGTTCCCAGGTTGACCTTTACCTGGCTGGCTGAAAGGCTCAGGGGTGGGGACTGTAGCATGAGACACCCTCAAAGGTGCTTTTGTCTCTCAAATAAATAAACGAACGAACTTTGAAAAACATTAAGATACGATAAAAATACAGAAGGGCTTATGATAAAAATCAAGTTTCTTTCTTCCAAAGAGACCAGTTTTATCCAAATTGGTTATTGTTGCCTTTCTATTAAGATGAGGATTTATGCCCCGCCACTGTGGTGCAGCAATAATGCAAGTGCCCTGCTGGAAGCCATATAGCTGACTGCAGGGGATGGATCCCAGGTTGGCCTGGACACACACCAGATGTGTTTGCAGGGACCCAGATCCTGAGGAGAGGGCGGAGCTGAGGAAAGGGGTGAGTCTGTCAAGGGTGCTTTTCTCTCTGTTTGTCTTGCCCATGCCAGTGACCACATGCTGACATTAAATAATAAAAAAGACTTAGCCCAGCCATACTGTGCCTCCAAATTTGATCATTATATTGCTGTCTTCAGTTGATTACCTTTGTTGTCATGTAGCATCAACTTCTGAATTTATGTTGTATAAGATGAGGATATCAGTGCTCCTGTCCTTCCTTCTAACTAAGTCATACATACTATTCCTATTTGCATTCTGTTCTGTAACTCTTGTTTTTAATGCTGGTTCTTTCTAAAAACTAAACACTAATAAAGTATTATTTGTATGATGTAAAATGTTTACTGCGAATTAAGTCATATACTCTAATTTGATTTCCTTCTTTATGGTGCATGTTCCCTCGGTCACGTGGAATAGATTATTCCTAATAACATCGTGGTTGAAGGCCTCTGTTTTCTATGCTCTACCAATTGCTCAAAACATGACACACTGGAGTTTGTAATGCCTTCTCTTACTGGTGTTTCCAAACACTTTACTCAAGTACACTCACAAACAGCCTACACAGAAAGTACGTATGGAAAGTCAACTTTTCAGTCCTTAATGTATGATAATGACTTTCATTTACCTTGCCTTCAGATGTAATGGATGGTTTACTTGAGTATAGAACTTTCGGTTTAAAATGCGTCTTCGTCATTTGAAGTGCGCAGATCCACTGCCTTCTAGAATTTGGTGTTTTTGCTGTATTTACGGAACCAGCTTTGGATACCTTTTTTTTTTTCTTCCTAAAATATTTGTTACATGACTGTACCAGTTTTCTTAGCTTTTCTCATTTTTCATTTTTTTCCCATTTTGCTTACATTTTTAAAGATTTCCTCAATTTTATAGTATAGCCTTTCCCTAGAGTTAGTTTTTCACAATCATTTAAAATTTCTTAGATCTCACACTTACTCATTTAAAAAAAATTATCCTGATCTTGGGCTGGCCCCATGGCCTAATGGTTAAGGGAGCCAGATCCCACCTGACCAGCCACAAAGTTTGAATCCCAGCCCTGGTGGCTTGTAAAAACAAGTGTGCCTATGGAGACCAGCAGATAACATAACATAATGGCTATCTTTCTGGACTCCCATGTAGTTGACCGTGGTGCAAGTCCCAGACCCAGTGGCTTAAACTCACGCCGGGTATGTGTGCGTGTGAGCCCACTCAAGATCCTGAGAGAAGAACAGAAAAGGGGTTGTGGCGTGGCCATCCCCCCTGGGGGGCGATTTCTCGCTTTCTGTCTCTCTCACCAGAGTACGCGCCCTATAGCAAAAACTCTCCTAAACCAAAACAAACAAACAAACCAAGTATGCCTAAAAGGCTGATGGGATGGAGAAAGGGAGAAGGGTTTATGACTTGACTATACCCATTGGTGCTTTCCCAACATTTCCCTCTTTGTTTCTCTCTGGTAAGCACACACACACACACACACACAACTATGAATACAGTTATCGTTTTCAATTCTCCCCTCCTGTTTATATTTTTTCTTGAGTCTTTATTTCTGTTTATCTTGGTCTCTTGTTCAGCAACCTTTAATCAAGTCTTCAGTGATCCTGAATTGGCAATTCATCTCTCATAAGAGGAGAGATCAGAAGCTCCGTGGGTGAATAGGGAACTGGAATTTAGAAACTTTTGGAGACACTGCTTAGAGAACATCCCTGTGGATTTTTTCCTAAGTGCTTTTCTGACTAGGCTTGTTGGAACTTCGCTGTTTTGCATAAGAGCTACAATTAATCTCCTTTTTGGTCCCACTTCTCACGCCACTCTTCAGTAATAATACTATTTCTGAAGCCAGAACTTCATCAGGGGTATTGTCAGCAGCAGCCCTCTCTCAATATTGTACTGCCAGACCACCATCCAGAGAGGCAGTAAACAGCAAATTGTGATGCTTAACAATAGTAAAAGAGAGATAGCCTCTGGAGAGTTTTCAGTTATTGGAAACTTAAAACATCTGAAAGGTAATTACTTAGAATTCTTTTAAGTATCACATTTGCTGACTAGCAGCTGTGTGCTCACTCATCTCACTCAGTAGGTCTGCTGGTTCCACATGACTCTGAATTTGGAAACGGTTCATTCTTGAAAGGTAAACAGTCACTAAAACTGAAAATATGCAAAAAAAAAAAAGATTTTGCTTCTACAGAGATATGTGGCACTGCATTTGAAATAAGCCTCTAGCCTCTGAATAGGGTTAAATGGTTCTCCCCTTAAAAGAAACACACTCATATAAACGCACAGCGTACCTACAGTGGTTGGTCACACATTAACACCATTGCGCAGGATGGACTGGAAGTTGGGAGTACACCACTGGAGTTGTCTGGCTGTAGCAAGGATGAGGCTCTGGCTTGGAACAGAGGCACAGCTGGGGGACTGGGAGCGCAGGGATGCCACTGATGACACGGGGAAGGCTAGGTTCAAACTGATATGTTACAGTCACATGGATAACCTAAAAAATACTGATGTCTCGGGCCAGCAGGTGGCATAGTGGTTAAGGCGCTGGACTCCCATGCAGTCAACCCCAGTTAAGAGTCTCAGACTTGGGAGTTTGAAACACACCAAGTGCATGTGCATGTATGTCCAGAATCCCAAAGGGAAATGGAGAAGGGATAGATAGCAGTGTGACCATCCTCCCAGGCGGTGGTTTCTTGCTTTCTGTCTGTCTCTGCTTCTCTGGCGAGTGCACATGCCCTATAGCAAAAAAAAAACAAAAAACAAAAAAAACAAAAACGGGACTAGCAGTTAGCGTAATGGCTATATCGCTGAACTTCCATGTAGTCAACTGCAGTGGACCCAGTGGCTTAAACTCACGCTGGGCGCATATGCCCCAGATCCTGAGAGGAGAATGGAGAAGGGATTGTGGCATGGACATCTCCCCAGGGGGTGATTTCTCGCTTTCTATCTCTCTATCTCTCTCAGGAGTGCACGTGCCCTATAGCAAAAACCTCTCCAAAAAAAAAAAAAAAAAAGAAAAGAAAAGAAAGAAAATCCAATGTCCAAGCCCTACCTAAGAGCAATTAACTAGCACTTCTGGGAAATATTCTAGAAGAAAAATGAAATTAATAATGTGAAAAATGAATTTTTCTTCTCCATTTTTGTCAAATGAAGAGTTGGCCAAACTTGGTCTGCCTGAAATTTAACTTTTATTTATCAATGTCATTTTTGCATAACGTGTCCGCTGCTGCCTTTGTTCTTTCAAACACGATCTTACCTGTAGTACGTACTGTCGCGCTTTGTCCACATCTCCAGGCAAACTGAACCGTCTCATTATCATAGCGTTCATTTCTGGGAACTAACCACGAAGAAAGAAAGAAAATCTGTTTATTGCTCTGGAGAGGATAGGGGCTTCTAACACTGGTTTGTAACAAAAGGAGATAACAAGAAACAACAAAAAGGTGATTAAACGCATAGATGGTGTGGGGGACAGTAAACTAGCAATTAAAGGCCCTGAGATATCTCTTCTGCCGAGACGACAGCCATCGGGCCTTATTCACTCCCGTGTTCTGTTTGACGCTTAGTCCAGGGAGACTAGTTAGATTTAAATAAGAGAGTGGGAGGAACAATGGGCACTTCCCCATCTCGCAGGCTTCTCTTAGGGTTCTTGAACTTCCGACCGCATCAGAATGCCTGTACTGGCTTCAGGCCTCTTCCTGTTTCTAGCTCAGCAGGGGTGGGGCCTGAGTGTGTATTTCTCACAGGTTTTCAGGTCATGATGACACTGTGAGAACCCTGGCCCAGGATGACAGTGGGTACTGGGCATTCTCGTTGAACTCCACATGAAGTGGCATCTGGAAGCTGCTGAGATGTTTGGTCAGAAGGGGTTATGGGCAGAGCGCTTTGCGTAAGCAACCCGCACAGTGCGTCCCAGCAGTCACGCTCGACGCTGACTGCGTGCTACAAGCATTTGGGGAGGTTTGACTATCTTGGGGCGTCAGAAAAGTTACAACACATTTTTTTCTATGCAAAAATGTGTCATAACTTGTGATAACCCAATAGCTGCCTGGATCCTGTTGCCAAAGATTTTGATTACATTGGCTTGGGCTTCAACCTAGGCATCAGGATTTTCAAAACTCCCCAGGTAGTTTTTGTTTGTTTGTTTCTTTTTTTTTTTTTGGAGAGGTTTTTCGCTATAGGGCGCGTGCGCTTGCCAGACAGACAGACAGAGAAAGCGAGAAATCACTCCCCGAGGGGATGTCCAAGCCACAATCTCTTCTGCTCCATTCTCCTCTTGCGACCTTGGGCACACACACACAAGCACCCAGTGTGAGTTTAAGCCACTGGGTCCAGGACGTGAACCGTGGTCGACTACGTGGGAGTCCAGTGACATAGCCATTATGCTAACTGCTGGTCCCTGTTTCTTTGTTTTTTAAAGAATTATTCATGCGTGACCAGCAGATTGGGCATAATGGTTACGTCGTTAGACTCCCACATAGTTGACCGTGGTTCAAGTCCTGTACTCCGCGGCTTAAAACTTAAGGCTAGATGCATGTGCGTGCGTGCCCAAGATCTCAAGAAAAGAATGGAGAAGAAGGGACTGCGGTGTGATTTCTCACTTTCTGTCTCTCTGTCCTCTGGTGAGTGCATGCGCCCTATAACAAAAATCTCTCTTAAAAAAAAAAAATTTCACTTAATTTTTATTTATTATTATTTTAAAATCTGCTATAGGACACAGGCACTCACTAAAGAGAGAGAGAGTGAGAGAAAGTGAGAAAGAAGCCACCAGGTCTGACTTGAACCGTGATCAGCCATGTGGGAATCCAGCACCCCAACCACCATGCCACCTGCTGCCCCCTCCACCCCCCCAGTAGTTTTCAACAAGCAGGTAATTTTGAAAGCATTGAATCAAGGGCTCTAGAAGCAGGGATATAAAAAAGGCAAGAATTAAAATGATGGCAATAAGAGGAACAAAGCAAGCGGGTACAAAAAGCACTGATGCTAAAATCATATTCCACAAAACTTAGCAGCTGTGGAGGATCACTGCCATTAATGGAGTAAGGGAGCCAAGATGGCAAGTCACCCCACTTCCGAGGTCCAAGTTCCAGTCCTGGTTCTGCCACCGGTTTCCACAGCTGAGGAAGTTCCTTAGTCTCTGGGGGCTTGGCCGCCTCAGCTGTGGGATGATCTGAAATCCCCGAGGCCTAACAGTCCATGGTCCCCTAGACTAAGAAAGTGAGGTATCTTTGGTCTTGGACAGTGCTTCCAGCAGCTGCCAGTTTTTCCCTGGCAACAGCCTGATGGGTATTAATACCCAGGGTATTAGTACTCCTAGAAGGAAAAATAGGGCACACCTAGAAAAACTACCGAATGACGGCAGATTTGGAAGAAGTTTCCTTTCAAAGCAAAGGAAGCAGATGTAAGGAACAAAGTTCTAAACACATAGAGGCAGCTAACATACTTAGATAATTGAAGGCACTAGCAACTGGTTCGTTCTTAAATGAAAAGCAGTAATTTGCCTTAGTTACTATTCTTTTAAGAATAAAATAATTTGGCAGTTAAGGCACTAGACACTCACATGGCCAGCCATAGCTCGAATCCTGGATCTGGCTTGAAACTCATGTGGGGCATGTGTGTGTGTGTGTGTATACCCAAAATCCCAGGAGAAGAATAGAGAAGGAATTGTGGCCTGGCTATTCCCCCAGCGATGATTTCTCACTTTCCCTCTCTCTGATGAGTGCACATACCCTATAGTAAAAACCTTAAAAAATAAATAATTCAAGGTTTATAGGAAACAAATGAGAAAAACCAGATCAATTTTAGTAGTCAAAAGTCCAATCAAATAGGCATTCATTTTAGGTTTTTTTTTGAGATTTTTGCTATAGGGCGCGTGTGCTCGCCAGAAAGAGACAGACAGAGACAGAAAGCGAGAAATCACCCCCCAGGCAGGATGGCCATACCGCAATCCCTTGTCTTCCATTCTCCTTTCGGGATCTTGGGCATGCATGCACATGTGCCCAGCAGGAGTTTAAGCTACTGGGTCCGGGAATCGAACCATGGTCGACTACATGGGAGTCCAGCGACATAGCCATTACACTAACTACTGGTCCTTCATTTTAGTTTTTTAATACCATGATATGAAATTGGTTATCTGGAAGACCAGGTCCTTAAAGCTGATGTGATCTTGTCCTAGGCATTACTAAGACTACCTTACAATGTGCAAATTTTTCTGCAGTATCCCTTAGTGTGGTAAAATGTGCTGATCTGGAGGTTCTCTGATGCTTTTTATTATAAAAACAAAGTAAAACTTGAAGAAAATATTTGCATCGAATATGGCTATATCCTACCTATGGAACATGTCCTGTGTGCAGTTTTAATATGCAAATATCAAGCTCTTCCCCCATCCCTTTAATGTGCACCTGGAGAAGAAGCCAGAAACAAAACAGGAAGAACAGGTGCCTGCCTGCAGCTTTAGTGAGAAATAAAGCTTTTGTTTGCTCAGGCTCTGTTTTCAAGAGTAGGAAGACCACCTGGATTAGCAGGTTCTAACTGAAACGCTGTCACTGACCCTTTAGAGGTGGAGAGTAAACTGGATCGAGTTTACCCCAACCAACCTGCGTGACTCCAAGGCACCAGCTAGTCACCACAACGCAAGCCTGGCAGCTGGTGCAGGGGCTGGGGATGGCAGATGGGAATCTGGCTGCAGGCTGACATTTAGGACTAGGGACTTATCAAATAAAGAGAAGCACAAGATAGCAAAGACTTTTAAAAAGGATATCTGAAACCTGATGTGGTCTCGCCAAAGGAAGGAAAATACTTCCATTTTGTCCCTGAAGATTTCAAAGTTCCAGTCCACATATTCTGAACAGTCAAGGCAAGGTTTTTGGTCTTAAAGAAAATGTGTGACACACATACGTGAAAGGATACTTTTCCCTGGGACCTCTCCCAAAGTCCTGAAATTTTTCTTAAATCCCTGTACCAACTGTTGTCAGGAGACTCCTTCAGAGAGATGTTAAAAATAGTGGAATTCCAAAGAGGGGGAGTTTTTGTCAGGTGTGGGTCTAGCAAATTCCAATTGGAGACAGTCCACTGTGTGAAGTTAAAAAGAAAAAGGCATTTCCCTCCCCTCCCCCAGGGCTGCCTGTCTTGGTCCAGTGAGATTCAGTCAGTGTTCACAAGTGGAAAAGTTCAAAGACTTACCTAATCTCTAGATAAAACCTACCTGTGGAAAGGATTACAAACATTCTAGAACTACTCCACTGAATAGGAATGCTAGTCATAAATAAGGAGGGACTCTGAGTGTCCTCAGCAAGTTTCCAGCAGCCAGACCTCTTAACCTGCTCCACACGAGCAGGCTCCTCAGGGACTACCTTTGTTCACATTTTTCATAGCAGTTACATTTTACACACATGCATGCACGCACACACACACACACACACACATCATAGGTGACTTGAGTGTTGTCCTGCTGTGCCATTTACCAGATGTTTAATTTCAGCCAGGTTTGCACATCAGTTCCTGACTTACAGAACAGGCATCATGGTATCTTATCATCTAGAGGACTTGTGAGATAAGAGAGGACGATGGATCAAGACTCCTTCACGACCCAAAGACAATGCGTTTGCATGAAATGGAAACTGCACGTTTTCATGTTACTTCTGGAACTCGTTTCTTCTAAAAATGACTGGAGCCCCCTAAGTCTTTTGAAAGATTTCTTGCTAAGGATCCCTTTTTTTTGGCAATGTAATCCACAGTAGAGCCTAAACTTGCTGTTTTATCTGAAAACAATGTACACATCTGACTAACGTGTGGTCCGTGTACCACAAGACAAAAAAAAAAAATCAGTCTTCTTATGAAATGAGTGCTGTCCGGAGCCACTTCCTGCTCTGCCTCGTCCCGTGTCCTCTCGTGAAGCTGCAGTTCGCCTTTCTCACTCCTTTCCACTGCCTGGTGCGCAGAGGGGAAAAGCGCTGTCTGAGAGTGAGTAGGCGCCTTGTGACTGGGATTTCCAAGTGAAGCACACACAAGCCTGTGGTTTGGGGCACTGTGACCTCTTGTTTGTTCCTTTTTTCCCTCTAACCAGCATTTTTCAGTCTCATAGGTTACTCTCAGATCAGTAAGAAGGGTCCATTTCCTCTGACTCTGCCCCGTAATAGCAGAAGGCAGAGTCAGCATTCCTCCTTTGTGTAGAGGAAAGTAAATTTCTTTATGTGTGTAGACAGATACAATCGGAGGCCAGTCGATTCTCAGTCACCGTAAGATTTCTGAGAGAACAGCAACCAAGACATTTAGTGCACCCTAAGCTTCTTCAGGCAAAGGCTTGTTCCTCAGTTATCTTTGGAGTTTCAATGCCTAGTCAGATCTTTATGGCGCTAGCTGGACTGCAGCATCTTCAGTTCTTACTGTTCTTTAGTCGCCTGGATTAACCAGTGTCTGAGGAGCGGATTAACGTTTGCAGGAATACACAGCAGCCAGAGACTGGCTTTTCCAACCTCGGGCACACCTCTGCATTTACATGGCTTGGGAATACGTGGTGTGTGTTGGGGATGGGGGAGGTTATGGTAAGACAGAAAATGTTCCTCAGATGTGCTTTACCATAGGAAAGGAACTTGATACATTCATTAATGCTCTCCCTGAGACTCGGGCTGGCAAGTCGTATCACGGGCCCACTGACTGGGCCTTTCACGTCTCAACTTGGTGTCAACATTCTGAGAGACTAGCGCCTGGTAATAACAAGGACGATGTGTCTACAAAGTACTTCCACATCTCCGTTCACAGCCCTGATTCCTCAGCTGGCTGCTGTGCACTAAATGCTGCTGCCCGAGACAGCCCGGCCCAGCCACCCAGTTCAGTCTCCCCAGGGAAGAATCACTCCAGCGTCGGCTCTGCTGCAGAGTGGCTGAGAGTGAGCTCTCCTCTCCTGACGCAAAGTAGGCAGGGTCACTGGCTTCGACCTCAAAGCGGAATCACTGAATTCCACGGAAGATATGATTTGTAAGGCAGAGGCAAAGTCTCCGAGAGACTAAAAGTTATTACAATTTTAAAACAACAGGCCACTTTGTAGTTTATGGCACGCTGACAGGTTACTGTCTTACTACCTAAACACTGCAGAGACGAACACCTAATGAAAAGGTGTCTGAGCCCCAGCTACGTCCCACTTATCTCAGATAGCTTTTGCCAGCCGAAAGCAACATGGCCAGCGTCCTGGACGGGCTGCGAACACGCCTGCTAAGTCACGCTGCGTCTGTCACTTCCTAACCTTCATCCACATGGAGGAGGATACGAAGCAGTTGTACTTCCTACTCCACAGTCCCTCAGTCTGGAGAAGGGGGAGCTATGCAGTTCTAGTGCACTCCACTGATTCTGATGTCTTGAGGCAATGACTGAGGCTCTGAGGCCTCTCTCAGAGACCCAAACAGTCTCACTAAACTAGAACTGGAGAATTTCTCAGGATTTTTTATGCTTGGATGCCCTTATTGCTTCCAGTTCTTTTTAAAGGGGCTGAGACACACTCAACGTCCAGCCCTATAATCAAGATGGGGAAACCATTCACTCGGCAGTGACCGAAACATAACAGAATTAGTCACGAGGCTACCTTAAATGCATACAGCATTTCACTCATGGTAGAGACGAGTGGTTCTTGGTCCTCACAACCCTGCAAGGTGGTCATCTTGATTTTTACAAAAAAGGAAACAAGCTTAGAGAGGTGAAATGACCAGCCCCAACATCTTAGTCCTAGAGCCAGGACTGAATCCAGACCTATGATTTCCTACCTAAATGCCTTGCCGGCTGCTCCTCATCCTCGGTGCCTGCAGACACTGTGATGCAGGGCTACCCTGCAATGTGAAGGGAGTTTGTGAAACCCACCTGCTGACAAGCAAATAAGACAGGGCCAGTGGCTAACCCGAGCTTCAGGTCAGTTGACGTTGGTTTGCCCATCTGGACAGAACATGAGGTGAAGTCCAGTACATCGTCTATTAGCTAGCAAAAAGAAAAAAAAAAAAAGAGTGAAAAGCACCACGGTGTCAGTGTCACTGCCGCAGTTCTCAGTGTGTTGAAGCCGACACTGGGGGAGAATGTTGGTTGCACCCACACACCACCAGTTCTTACAAATAAGAAGCATACCAACCTGAAAAGCTATCCCCAGATTTTTCCCGTATTGATAGGCAATCTCATGCACCTCTGGGTCAGGGCATCCCAGGACAGAGACCTGCAATAAGAAGAGAATTCAAGATATGGGGCTGGCAGCCAGTTACAGGCTAGGTAACCTCTGAATGCAGGAATCATATCTATTCCCTTAAATAAGAGGCCGTTACGCTAGATTAATCAGGAGATACTAATATCAGGAGACCAAACATGTACAAAACAGAGTGTCTTCAAAGCCCGCATGGCGTAGCGGTTATGTTGCTAGACTCCCACGTGGCCACCTGCGGTTTGAGTCCCAGACCCGGTGGCTTCAAGTTTATGCCAGGCATGTGTGCATGTGTGTCCAAGATCCTGGGAGAATGAAGGAGAAAGATTGCGGCATGGCCATTCCCCTCTAGGGGCGATTCGTCTTTCCCTTTCACTGTCTCTCTGCCCGCAGAGCACATGCACCTTAAGGCAAAAACCTCTAAAAAACAAAAACAGAAACAAAAAATGAAACAGTGTCCTCAGTGAAAGAATTTCAGTCTCAGAATGTTTCCTTAAATAGGAAGAAAACTCTCCCCTCTTCCCTTCCCCACTGTTAGGGAAGACTGAGCAATAGATAGCTGGCAACACACTAAGTAAACCTTTCTGACAGCAAAAGAAACAGACCCTCAGAGATGAAATACTGGCTTCCAGCCCTCAGCAAACCAGCCCCAGGGTTGTTGGCTTTAGTAATCCCTACGGATTTCTCTCATTTTGGGGAAAAGCTAATCTGACACATGATGGTGTCATATACTTCCCTATCTGTAGTCCTTTACTTGGTGGTTTCACTTATTTCTGAAATGGTTTTCTTGAAATGTCTGTAACAGCCTCCTGCCTCATCCTTCAGAAACAGAGAATTGTTCTTTCATTCTCAGAAGGATCTTCACTGTCCTATTTCTGTATTTCTCTCACAGGAAGTTAAAAAACAAACAAACAAAAAACTTTCCTCCTTTTTCAGTGGGAAGAAATGGGACCTCTAAAAGTCTTTCTTACAACCCAAACTAGCTGGCTCTGGCAGCTAGAGAGCACTGCCTGCTGCTGTGCTCGGCATGCTAAGCAGGCCTGGCCACATTTGCAGAAAACAAAGACGGGGTCAAACCCCAAAGGGAGGGGGAAGGCCTTCAGCTCCAGAGAGGAAACAGCTACAGAGACTCTCCATGAGAAAGCTAAGAGCTCCTCCCAGTCTCCTCTCTGCGAGGGTCCCTGGCCCCTGGCGATACAGCACCTGTTTCTGGCCGTAGTCCCTCCACCCCTCCCTCTGTTCAGGCACCATCAGTGTGGCCCAGGGGGGCGGCTCTGCACTCAGCCTGCCAGGGTTCCCTCTGTACCCCACAAGATGGCTGCGTGTCTGCGGCATGCTCCTTAATCCTTGTGCTTCAGTTTCTTATCTGTAAAATGTAGGAATCAGTAGTACTTACCTAAAAGGGTTGTCGTGAGAAAGACATTGGACGCTACTTTTAAGCCCCCAGTATGGTGCCTGGCATCTGGAGAGAATTCAGTGTGTGTGCTGTTCCTAATAATCCTCCTCCTCATGGTCCAGAAACAAGGGCCTGGGCAGTGTCCATGCCCTGCTACTAAGTAAGGTCAGATCACACAACTTGCTCAGCACTGAGAAGGCTGCTGCTTTTTTTTTTCTTTCTTATTTTATTTAACTTTTTTTTTTTTTTTTTTACTTTTTTTTTTTTTTTTTTAAATTAATTTGACCAGAGAGGGACAGAGAGAGAGAGAGAGGGAGAGAGAGAGAGAGAAAGTAAGAAATCAAGGCATCGGGTCCAGGACTCGAACTGTGGTCGGCCATGTGGGAGTCCAGTGCCTTTAACCACCACACCACCTGCCGGTCCTGAGAAGGCTTCTTGATGACTTGATGAAGCCTATGCCTGTGAGTACACGGATAAACTGCACACCGCACCAGAGAGCAGGTGGCCACTTCATTCGTGGGATAATCACTGCTTTCAATACCAGGCTTCTTACCTTCAGCAGTTCTGAGACCACACGGGACAATTTAGAAACTCTGAAAGGCCGAGTTATCCATCACTGTGGCTCAGAGTGAGAGTGTGGGAAGGGCAGCCTGCAGTGTGCGGAGCTCAAATAGCTACACTCCTTTCCCCAGGAATAACTGACGACCAAGCACCGTCCTGCAGGGAGTCATGCCGTTTCCTCAATACAAAGCCACGCACAAATAGAAACTTCCTGAATGGTTACGAGATTTTTCAAAAACTGATTTCTAAACTTAATGAATTAAAATGTACAGTCACAGGGCCAGCAGGTGGCACGGTGGGTTGGAGTGCAAGACTCCCAGGAGGCTGACCACAATTTGAGTCCTGGATCTGGAGGCTTGCTTTCTCTAATAATAAAGAATAATTATTAAATAAATGAATAAATCTGTGGTCCACAGGGCCAGCAGGTGGCATGGTGGTTGGAGTGGTGGTTGGCACATGGCCAATGACATTTCAGGTCTTGCATCCAGCGGCTGAAAAATCAGGCCAGGTGCGCCATTGTGCATGGCTAAAATCCCAAGAGGAGAAGGGACTGTAGTGTGGTCATCCTCCTTGGGGGGTGATTTCTCACTTTCCCTCTCACTGTCTCTCTCTGGTGAGTGCATGCACCGTATGGCAAAAATCTTTAAAAAAAAAAAGAAAAAAGAAAAAATACACGGCCCACATGGAAGTAGTACTTTGTACTGTCTTAGTCACGCCTTACGATATCCCACACACACTTAGGATGTGGCTGGTAACGATAAAGGGTAACGATTCCTGTGCCATCACTATGTATCAGCGGCTCTTCTAAGACTGCTCACGTTAGTCACGTATGAGGGGCGAGGAACGGAGGCATGCTAACAGCCGGCCCCAGGGACTGTTCTCGTTAACACTTGGCTTTGCTGCTGCTAAGGGGCAGCAGGGTGGGAGGGCTGTGCCCAAGTCAGCGTAGGCTGTGCGGCCTGCCTGAACCGTGCGCGGTGCCTGCTCACACTGCCGCCCCGGAAAGGAGCTCCGCACAGCCCAGAGGACATCTCTGCTTAGATTTTGGCTCCCATGGCGTGAAGAGCACCCCAGAGGATCCTCTCCCCCAACCCAGGCAGGACTGTCTGGATCGGAGGCAAAGAAGCAAAACAGCTACTCAAACACAATCGGTTGGGTGCAGCACAGCACGACACGTGAGCTGGCACGGAGCTGCTCAGCCACCAGCGGAGCGCTGTGTCTGCACCAGGGATGCCTCGCGTGTTTGGGAGTGGGAGGAGTGCGAGGATGATTGAGTCAGAGACAGCGGGGTTCAGCTGATTGTTTTCGTTGAAGCAGCTGTCACAGCCAAGCCTGTCGTGCATGTTTCTTGGGGAAGGTCCACATTTCACATCGTTTTCTCACGAGCCTCGTCTCAAAAAGATTGCTTATACTGGCAGGGGCAGAGCACTTGATATTTACCAAGCATCTCTTTTTTTTCTTTTACAAAATGTTTTCTCCTATTCATGATAGAGTGTGTGCACCCAAGAGGGAGCGAGAACAGCATCCTCCACATGTAGGTTCAGACCGGGACCTCCTTCCTCCCATCTGTCAGATCTGGGACACTGGTCTGTGGGCCCAGTGTATCAAGCTGATAGGGCCAGGGATTCAGCCCAGGGTCATCATTGAGATCCAGCTCCTCTTGAGCAGTAACTACTGCTGCACGGAACTGGCCCACATCTTCTGCCTTTGAAGGGTGTGTTTGTGCCACCATAACACACATACATGTATCGCGATCTTTGTTAAACATACTGAATATCGGAGCACCACTATTACAGGATAATATCGAAACCGGATGTTGTCAAAAGTCGACATTTATACTGGGAGAAAATATATGCAACATAGTATCACAGGGACCAGCAGTTAGCGTAATGGCTATGTCGCTGGACTCCCATGTAGTTGACCGCGGTTCGCGTCCCGGACCTGGTGGCTTAAAACTCACGCCAGGCACGTGTGCATGCGTTCCCAAGATCTCGAGAGGAGTATGGAGGAGAAGGGATTGTGGCGTGACCATCCCCCCTGGGGGGTGATTTCTCGCTTTCTATCTCTGTCTCTTTCTGTCTGTCTGGCGAGCATGCCCTATAGCAAAAACCTCTCCAAAAAAAAAAGAAAAGAAAACACAGTATCACAGATAAAAACAATATTCTTAATATATAAAGAGTTTTTAAAAACCTGGAGGAGGGAACCAGCAGTTAGCGTAATGGCTATGTAGCTGGACTCCCACATAGTCGACTGCGGTTCGCATCCCGGACCCAGTGGCTTAAAACTCACATCAGGCGCGTGTGCGTGTGTGCCCAGGATCCTGAGAGGAGAATGGAGAAGGGACTGCGGCGTGACCATCCCCCCTAGGGGGTGATTTCTTGCTTTCTGTCTGTCTGTCTGGCGAGCGCATGCGCCCTATAGCAAAAAACCTCCCCCCCCCAAAAAAGAAAAAAAAACCTGGAGGAGAGGCCACATAATAGAAAAATGGGCAAAAGACAGACAATTGACAAAATTAAAGCTATCAAAATGGCCCTGGAAAACAAGTTTAAACTCACTCAGAAAGAAGTGATGCCAGGACCAGCAGTTAGCGTAATGGCTATGTCACTGGACTACCATGTAGCTGACCGCAGTTTGAGTCCCGGACCTGGTGGGTTAAACTCACGCTGGGCACGTGTGCCTGCATGCCCAAGATCCCGAGAGGAGAATGGAGGCGAAGGGATAGTGGTGTGGCCATCCTCCCGGGGGGTGATTTCTCACTTTCTGTCTCTGTCTTTCTGGTGAGCGCAGGTGCCCTATAGCCAAAAACAAAACAAAACAAAACAAAAAAAACCCAAACCTCTCAAAAAAAAGAAAGAAGAGATGCCAATTAAACTCCATTGCAGTATCATTTCTGGTACTGGAACTGACACTTAAATCGTCTAATACCAGATCCAGTAAGGCTGTGGGGAAAGGGACGAGACACGGGACACTGCCAGTGGGAGCGTGTCCTGGACAGCACTGCAGAGGGACACGTGGGTAATGTCTAACATAACCACACGTGTAATCACCTCTCAGCTTACCC